GGAGGAAAGCCTATCTTGACAACAAACCAGTAAGAAAACACATCTTCTCTTGCCTACTTTCTAAGAGACGATGAAGTGCCATAAACCAGCAGGCACAGTTTTTAGAAGCTGTTGATTCTAGGAAGCAGCTCTCATGGGGCAACTAATGCATTCTTGCTTAGTCTTGTGGAACACTGATGTTGAGAAATCAGTGTTAAGGAGTTGCTCTGAAAATCTCTCCTTCAAACTCTTGTCCTCTGTTAGAGGAAAAGTAAAAAGATATAGTTGCTATGGAAAATAATACAGTGATTCTCCAATAAAAAAATAGAATTACCATAGGATCTAGCAATTCCATTTCTGGACATATAAACCCCCAAAATCTTGGATCTTGGAGAGACATTTGCACACCCATGCTGCTGAAGCATTATTCACAAGAGCCAAAATATGGAAGCAACCCACGTGGCCAACAGGTGAATGGATAAACAAAATGTGGCTATGTACATACAGTGGAATATTAGTCAGCCTTAAAAAGGAAGGCAATTCTGACACATGCTTCAACATGAATGAACCGTGAGGACATTAAGTTAAGTGAAATGAGCCAATGATAACATGACAGATACCATATGAGTCCACCTATGTGAGGGTATGCAGAGCAGTCAAATTCATAGAGACAGAGAGTAGAATGGGGACTGCCAAGGGCTGCAGGAAGGAGAGTTTTACTGTTTAACAGGTAGAGTTTCAGTTTTGCAAGATAAAAAAGTTTTGTGGATGGATGGTAATGGTTGCAAAAAAATAGTGTGAATGTACCAGTGCCACTTTAAAAATGGTAAATTTTATGTTATATATATTTTACCGTTTTAAAAAAAAAAACAACAAAAGATTAAATCGTTCAGCCAATGTTCAGGGAGAATTCCCCACTCTCTTCTACCATGTTTTAAATTTGGTACCACCTATAGTTTATCTGTTCTTTGACACAAATAGAAGGCAAAATAAATGAATACACATAGCACATGGGCATCAGTGAACTACTTGGCGACTCACCAGAGGCAGGCTTCATTTGGCAGCTCTGTGAGCACATAAATGCTCACAGCTGTGATTCCATATATATATATAATATATATATATATATATATATGAGAGATTTCCTAAGAAAATTTGTTTTGTGATGCTTTGGACAATAGAAATGCTCCTTTAAGAAAACCCAAACAAATTCAATTATTCAGTCCCCTTTACCCACAGTTTAATAATCATTATATCAAGAAAGTCTACTTCAATGGCTCTCAGTTGTGCAAAGGTCAAAGGTTCTAGAGCAAGTTTAATTTCTGTAAGAGGGAAATATCACTGCCTAAGACTTTATCGTAAGTAGGACTGTTCCACAGGGAATAAGGACCCAGAACCAAAGCTATTAGACCATTTCCTACCTTTATACTAACTTAAAGTTTACAAAGCAATTCCAAACACATGCTTTCATCTGAACATCACAGGCCACTCCATGGGATAGGGTTTGTTTTTTTTTTTAAGATTTTATTTATTTATTTGACAGAGATCACAAGTAGATGGAGAGGCAGGCAGAGAGAGAGAGAGAAGCAGGCTCCCTGCTGAGCAGAGAGCCCGAAGTGGGACTCAATCCCAGGACCCTGAGATCATGACCTGAGCTGAAGGCAGCAGCTTAACCCACTGAGCACCCAGGCGCCCAATGGGGTAGGTTTTAATGGCACCAATTTTGAGGGGAACACAGAGTTTAAGTGATTTGATCAAAATTTCCAAGCTACTATACAGGTAGAACGTAGGTCTTTTAAGTTCAAACCCATTTTTGTATTTCCCTAAACCTGAAATTTAGCTCTCCAGTCGAAGGCCTTGCTGATCTCCAGACAAGGAAACCTTTGCTGCTGGGTGCCCAATGGCCACAAAAAGGAGTGTATACAGCAGTACCTGTCACAGTAGCCCCGGGGCCTCACCTACCCCCACCCCCAAGAAGATGAGATATTACTTGATATACCCACCAGTCAGTATTCTTTGTAGGATCAAAGGAAATTATACGTGAGAACATTTTAAAAGCATAAACGAAAATGTTAAAATCATTAAAAGGCATATAGCTGTCAGGAGACTAAATTTTCATGACTCACAATCAGGAAGGTGGAGTGTGGAGGTAAGAATGTATGCAAAACGAACAAACAAATGGACCAAAGAGCCGGACTGGTCTCCACAGTGGGCTGGAGGTAGTGACAAACCGGGTACTTCAGTGGGGCAGGAGGTGGGTTGTGGGGCGGGGGGGAGACAAACTGGCCATTGTCCCAAAGACAATGCTGAGGTCTCAGAGACCCTAAACTCTCAGGCCTTTCTTCAGCCAGACATTTCAAGATGGCCAGGAAGCATGTAGGGCAATCCTATCTATATCCCATCCACATCCTTGGATAAAGAGGCTATGGAACTGAATGGTGTATAGGCTGAATGTTACAGTACATACAACAGTCAGACACAGTGGCAACACACCCGCTCAGTCCAAATTCTGGAGGGCTCCAGGAAGGGTTGGAGCTGAAGGATTTGCTAAGCCTAGCTACTACTTCCACTCTGGGGTTTGGCAGCCTCATGACACTGTGGGCTGTGCCTTCATTTACTCATCCTCAAAGAATGGTTGGGAGGCCTGGCTGGGAGTTGGCAGGGGCATGGAGGGAAGGCTATGGAGCCCGTTGTCTGGTATTTGGGAGCTGGGGACAGAAACGGAGAGCAATGGGGGCACTGTGAGCCTTTCAGTCTCACATTTTACTTTGCTCATTCATCCAATCTGCAAATATTTATTGAGTGCCAACTCTAAGTGTTCTTAGTACTGGCAAAGCAATGCTGGATCAGAGAGCAAGGTCCTTCCTTCAGGACACTGACATCCTGGTGGGAAAAGATAGAAAATGAACTAAGCACTTACAATGTCATAGTAAGTGCTTTGAAGAAAAAGGCCAGGAAGTGTGACTAAGAGTCCTGTAGGAACACAATGGGCCTGAGAAGATAGCATTTAAGCAGAGACCCAAATGTCAGATGACAAGAAGGAAAAGAGATAGAGGAAAGCTTCCCGGGCAGAGTTAACAGCATATGCAAAGGCCCTGAGTTGGGAACAAGCCTCACCTGCTGGAGGGAAGACTCAAGAAAAGAATACTATGAGCTCAGGTTAGAGGGGTAGCCAGAGAGCTAACCAGATTAGTTAGGGCCTTTCAGGTCATGATAAGAAGTCTGGATTTTATGCTCAGTGATATGAAAATTCACTGTGGCACAAAGGAGTGACATGTCTAATTTATGTTTTTTGATGAGTCTGGCCTGATAGATCATAAAGCAGGTAAGAAACCCCTGAAATTCTCTATTAGAATCTTCCATTTTAATACCTTTCCCATTAAAACCAAGAGGGACCATGGCTTAATTGTTATTGAAGTGTATACCAGTATCACTTTAACAGGAATCCCCAGAATGAGAGAAATATGGAGGATCAGGAGACAGGAAAGATGACAATAAGGGAGGGAGGATGGCAGCCATCTACCTCTGGTGCCTCCCAGGCTCATCTTCACAACTCTTCATAACTTATCCCTACAACTGGGAGCTGATATCCTGAGCCACCTGGCTTGTGTGCCCGGTTCCTCGTCCCTGATCTGAAGGGCACCTGTGAGAGCTGCAGAGGACAGCCACTTGCCTGTGGACCCTCATCTTCTGGCCTGTGCCAAGAGGCCACCCTTCCAGCTTCCACAGCTCTTGGGCTATCTGGGAAAGAGCATAGGCAAGAACCCTGAGGGGTGTCAGTTTGCAGCCTGTACCTTTCCAGTGTTCTGCTAAAAACTGGCTTGTCTAGGTCCTGCCAGGCATACCTGAACGATACATGAGAGAAAAGGGCCTCTCCTTGATTCCTTTCTTCTCCTTCCTTTAACTATCCAATGCTGAATCATTCCTCAGTGACCTTAGGTATTTCTGACTTACATCCAGGTCCAGCAAGCTGTAAAGTTACACAATACTACCAGATCGAGGCAAGTTTTTGCTTCCCCTAAGGACGGTCAACAAATTGCCTAAAGAAATAAAAACCGTCATGGTACCCTTGCTGCAGTCTGTCTTACTAAGTAGATGGTACAAGGATCACAATCACTTCCAATCTTGAGTCAGTCAAATACCTTTAACATTCTGGGAGAGAAGAAGAACCAAACAGATCCCATTAGTTTAAAACCAAGAATACGCAGGAGTAAGAATGTAAAAAAAAAAAAAAAAAAGAAAGAAAGAAAGAAAAAGAAAAACTATCAGGAACAAAATGGTGGCTAGATGCTTCTAGAGCATTGGATCTATTTGTTTTTTCAAAAGGACTGGTAGGGAAGAGAAAGGGTAGCTTCTGTGTCTCACATCACACTCCCTCACTCCACCCCCAAAAGGATGGGGAGGAGAGTAGGGAGAAAATCACTGGCATCCATGAACCCCGAAGAGAAAGCATCCAACCATTGTTTCAAAAGCTATTTCAATCAGAACACACTAACAATTTCTTACTTTTTTTTAGACTGCTCACTTAAAAATCAGTATATACGAGGCCTAAAGGCATATTCAAACTCATACAGTCCAAATCACTTCACTGATGAAGAGTCAAGCACAGAAGGTTTTCAGATAGTACAAGTACCAGGAAGGGAACCCGAGTCTCCTGACTCATGTTCCCATTAACTTTTATTTATAAAATAAAAGCACATTATAGGAAAACAGGAACTGCACAGGAAATCACCAGTAAACCAATCATCATACTAGCCACTATTAGCATTTTGTTCCTTCTATCACACGCTTATAGGTGTCCCTATATGTTATATGAATATATATATGAATATGTTATAATCATATTGGACTAATGTTCCCTCTAATACACAGGCTGTTTTCATAATCAAAAAATATTTAACAGCACCTATTACTAGGGCTTGGAATTCACGTCTTTTTTATGGAGTGTTTAAACAACTCTCATGAGATCCTGGGACATAAGAATCAAGCTGCTTAACCTCAGATCAGCTCTATTTACCTACCTGGTGCATCAGGTACTTGAAGAGGAATGAAAGGATCAGAAACATTTAGAAGTGGGAGGCTAGAATCCACAGTCTGCCCACCCTTCCTTTTTTCAGCTGGAGTTGGTTGGAGGGGAAGAAAGGATCAAGGAGAGAAAAAAAGAGAAAAGCAGAAAACATCAAGTAAATCTAGATGAATTTAGCATCTAGTAACCCAACAGCTCAAATTATAGAGTAAATCTGAACTCAAAGGCAGCGTAAAGAGGGATGAGTGACTATAATCCAGTGTAATGGCAAAATATGTGTAAGAGATACAACCCAGTCCCTGCAACATACTCAGAGATGCAATCAATGGTAACACTAGTTTACTCCTACACCTGAGTCCACTTCTTCCTTGTGTGGAAGCCTGCAGTGATCTCTTCCAGAATTCCTATAGTAACTATTGTCTGTATCACACACTATGGCATGTAAACAAACACTGTCTGCTCTGTAATCGAACACAGACGTATAGGTGCTTCAGTGTGTCCTCTACCATCCTGGGGTCACTGTATCACCAAATGTCTATTACAGCTCCAGGCAGACAGACACAGACAGAAACAGAAATAGGAGTCTTGTCTGTTGCAAGGTTAGACAATCCCTAACTTCTGGACTACATCTAACATCAAAGACACTCATTCTATACTTGGCAAACTTGCTGATGTACAGAGATCTAAACACCCTGTGGGATATCAGGGCTTGAAGGGGTCTTAGGATTTTCTAGCACAGTTTTCCCATTTTACGGAGAAGAAAATGAAGCCCAGAAGTTAAGAGGCTAGCCAGAGGTCTGCCACCAAACCTGAGGTCAGAACCCAGGCTTGCTGGTTTTCTAGTTCTATTCTTTACATTGTATTTTAATACTCATTTGTTCTTTAGTTGAAATCTCATTTTACCTTCTATAGATTTTTTTAAAACTTTTTATTTTTAAATAATTATGAGATCACAGCAATCTGCTCTACATAGAGTCCTGGGAACCTTTGACCAGCTTCCCTCCATGGTGAGATCTTTTCCCCCTACAGGACAGTATCGCTGACACTGTTACAATACTGTTAACTAGACTATCCAGTTTTCAGAGGCACTCACGTGTGCGTGTGTGTGTGTGTGTGTGTGTGTGTGTGTGTGTGTGTGTGTGTGTGTGTAGTTCTTTGCAATCAGATCCTATGTATAGGTTAGCACAAGCACCACCATGACGATGACACAGAATTGTTCCATCAAACCAAAGAACCCCCCTGTTGTTCTCCTTTATAATCATACCTACTCCTTACTCCAGTCCCTACTCCCTTAGAATCCACTAATTTGTTCTCAATCTCTACAATTTTGTCATTTTGAGAAGGTTATTTATTGAAGTGGGTTTTTAATGAAGCTTCTTTAAAGATAGATGGAGGAAGAGAAGGGTAAAATCACTGCTCTTAAAATCTCTAAAATATTTTTCAAACGAGACACAATGAAATACATTAAAAGAAAAAGAAAGAAACATAAAACTGGATATATTCATTTTTACAGAAATATATACAGAAATAAAATTACGGACATAAATATTGTAAAATGTCGGCAATGTTTTCCTCTCTGACTGGGTGGGATTGTGAGTTCTCTTATCTTGTTTCTTTGGGTTTTTAGTCATTTTTCCAAAATTACACAAAAGAATGTGTCTAACAGAAAAATATTTAAAATAAAGAGGTACAATGTCAAGTTTTAAATGTCTATTCCAACATATGGACATAGTTCATCAACATTTTTGCAGCTTTTACCATAAAAATGTTTAAAATAACCCTTCTGTCATCCTCTGTGACTCACTACCACATTTCCTGTTTATTTCCTTCCTTGGTTGATCAGAAGGTTTAAAATCAGTGAACAGTCTGAGCTTGATTAGAAAACTCCTAGAAAATGAAGCTGTCCTATACTTCATACAAATGAGGACATATTAATTTCTGGGATTTGGATGTGATTTTCTTTCATTTATAAAAAATAAAAGTGTTGCACACACAAAAGTTTATACCACAAACAAGAAAGAAGGAAAAATACCAAATGTCTGTTTAAAAAAAGGCTGGATAAGATGAAAAAAATCTGAAGATGTTTTATAATGTTCAAAAAAGTGTCATGTCACTGATTTACAAAGATTCTTGGGATGTGGTATGACTACAGCTTCTGAGCTGGGCTGCTCAGGTACAACTCTCTATTCTGTCATTCTCCAGTTGTGACCTCGGCAGGTCACTTAACCTCTCAAGGGCTGTTTTTTGGTTTTTGGTCGTGTTTTTTTCTTGTTTTGTTTTTTTTTAAGATTTTTTAATTTATTTGAGAGAGAGGGAGAGAAAGAGCACAAGAGTGAGCACAAGGTGGGGAGGGGCAGAGGGAGAAGCGGATTCCCTGCCGAGCAGGGAGCTGGATGTGGGGGATGTGGGCTCCATCCTAGCATCCTGAGGTCATGACCTGAGCCAAAGGCAGACCCTTAACCAACTGAGCACCCAGACACCCCCTGAGGGCTGTTTTAAGGACCACCTGAGATAATGCATAAAAAAGCACTTAACCAGTGGGTTAATATTATTAGCATGTAGCAAGAGCTCAGTGTATGTTCACTGTTACTACTGTCATAACTCTACTCAAGCATGAAGGGGGAGAAAAGGCTGAAACAAAAATAAAAACTGTTTTAAGAAGAGTTACAGGGGCATGTGGACAGCGCAGTCACTTGAGTGTTGGACTCCTGGTTTCCACTTGACGTTAGCCAAAAGGCTGAGAAGCGATGGACTCCTGGTTTCCTTTCAGGTCCTGGTCTTAGGTTCATGGGATCGAGCCCTGTATCAGGCTCTGTGCTCAGTGTGGAGTCTGCTTAAGGTGCTCTCTTTCTTTCTCTCCCTCTGCCCCTCCTCCTCCCACTCTTTCTCTAAAATAAATAAATAGGGTGCCTGGGTGGCTCAGTGGGTTTAAAGCCTCTGCCTTCGGCTCAGGTCATGATCCCAGGGTCCTGGGATCGAGCCCCACATCAGGCTCACTGCTCAGCAGGGAGCCTGCTTCCCCACCTCTCTGCCTGCCTCTCTGCCTACCTGTGATCTCTGTCTGTCAAATAAATAAATTAAATAAATAAATAAATCCTAAAAAAAACCATATAGACAAACAACAAAACACATGATAAGTAGGAAGTATAAGTACTGAAACTGGGAATGTATGGAAAATGTGTAGGGACCTCTGTTGTTAACACTGGCGAATCCAATTAATTAAATTAATAACAGTGAGATTATCATATCAAGATTTATATCATATGAAGACTTATAGGATATGATTAAAATTTCAGGTTTTTTCTGGTAAGGGAAACACAAACCTATTAGAAAGCACTCCTAATCAACAGTGTAATCCTCAAAGGTCAGGGCAGGGTGGGCAATGAAAGAGAGAAGCAAAGTGAATACTGAAGTTATCTGTGGACAAAACTTCTAAGCAGATTATAATGAGCCTCTCTCCCACTCTCATGCTGATTGAAAATCACTGTTATAGTAGCAGAAAAACTCTAAATACTTTCAGTACATTTTTAAGAAGAAATTTTTAAAATTTTACTGTGTTCCTCTTAATATTGACAAAGCAATTTAGAAATATGCACCAAAAGCCTTAGAAGACACATATCTTTTGATTTAACAAATAATCTAGAGGTTACCTTAAAGAAACTATAAAGGATATCATATAATGACAGCCAAAGTTCCAATAAGAAATAAACTTATGATGTTAGAAAAAGTACTAGCATATCTAAGGAAGGCAGGAAGAAAAAATATATAAGGTTATAATCAGAAATTAATAAAATTAAAAAGATCAATTTTGGAAGCATATCAAATTCCTATCTACAAGGATTATTTATACTCAAAACCTCATATCGGTTGCTGAGGGAATTTTAACAGGAAAACACTGAAACCAAATTAATGTTTAAAAAAAGAGGTTACTTAGATACATTATGACAAATCCATATGAAGCCATTTAATGCAGATCTTTTATAATTTATCTTTTAAGAGCTTTTTTTTTTTTTTAAAGATTTTATTTATTTATTTGACAGAGAGAGATCACAAGCAGACGGAGAGGCAGGCAGAGAGAGAGAGAGAGAGAGAGGGAAGCAGGCTCCCTGCTGAGCAGAGAGCCCGATGCGGGACTCGATCCCAGGACCCTGAAATCATGACCTGAGCCGAAGGCAGCGGCTTAACCCACTGAGCCACCCAGGCGCCCCTAAGAGCTTCTTTAATGACGTGGAAATGAGCCGGACTTAGTAAGCAAGCAAATTTGGTTTTAAAATAGGACTATAAAGATGTACGTTAAGGTCTTAAGCTGAGTCCAAAAATTATGTACAAAATCGTGGTCATTTATTTTCATGGGGAAGAAGATCTGTAAACTTTCATTATGTTCATGAAGATATATGTGACCCTAAAAAGGTTAAATGTTACTAACAGACACCAAATGGTACTCCTGTGCTACTTCTTAATTGTGAGATTACGGGGATTTTAACTTCCTTCTCTACACTTTTCTATAAATTGCTAACCTTTAGTGTACCTGAGGGGCTCAGTCCGTTAAATTACTAACTTTTGTGTAATAAATATGTACAATTTTCTCTCATTTTTAAGAAATTTTAGTTGAAATATAGTTGACTACGTGTCATTTTTATTAATAAAGGAGAAAATTAGTTTTTTACTATTACTTCTTTAATTTAAAAAAAGGTCTAATTTAAAAAGATATCTCCCTCTCCCTGTAAACACACACACACACACACACTCACACACACACAGAAACAGCTCAGAAAAATCTTGGGTAGAGGCTAGAACATCTAATTAGAATTCTTCAAGCCGTTCCAAAGATCTAAGCAATTATAAGAGATTAGCAGTGATGTTCTTAAATTCAGAAATATTTGCTTAAAGTATGTGTATGAATCAGAGAGAATAAATCCTGTATATTATTGACACGTCATTCTGTCATTTTGATTCAGAATGATTCTAGGTATTTCTTTTTCCCTACCTTTTATGTTGGAAATCTTCTGAATAAGAGAAAATATACGTTAGCACCAAGATCTGGGGCTCACTGGTGTGCCACAGCTATCTGTGGGACGGAAACTATGGAGGCAACAACTGTGAGCTCCGTGTTTCAGGTATTGGCTATACTAACCGGTTCCAGCAGAAAACGAGGGAGTGGCAAAAGCATCACCTTGAGTCGGTTGAAAGCCTGGGATCAAACTCTCAGCAGAGCCTCCAAGCTTCTCAGGATGTTTGCCTGGAGGGACAAAACACCACCGAGTTCATTCCAGCAGAACCCCATGATGCACACACACAGGCAGGAGGTGGAGGACACCTTCTGAACTGACTTCTCGACTGGACTCCTTTTACTGCCTCAAGGCAATACCTCAGCCATTCACAGGCCCTTGTCTAATCACTGCAGTAACTGAGACAACAGCTGAGAAAAGGAAAGAAGTTTTAAGAATCAAAGACGGCACATGGGTTTTGCAAGATGGAAGGACTTCCGGAGACTGGGTGTCCAACGATGTGTGTGTAGTTAACACTACTGAACTGTTCACTTGACAATGGTTCAAAAGTTCATATTTATGTTATGTTTATTTATCATAATTTTAAAAAGTATTTTATTTATTTATCTGAGAGAGAGAGAGAGAGAGAGAGAGAATGAGTGGGGGAGGGTGGGCAGAGGGAGAGGGAGAACCATGCTCCCAGCTCAGTAGGAACCCAACATGGGGCTTGATCCCAGGACCCAGGGATCATGACCTGAGCATAAGACAGATGCTTAACCCACTAAGCTACCCAGGCATCCCTGTATATTTGTCATAATTAATTTTTTTTCCAAATAAATGAATAAAAAAAGCAACAAAAGAGATGGCTAGAGCTAACGCCCAAAAGCTCAAGGACATTACTCAGGCAGAATGCCTCTAGTCCTTACTTGGAATCTATTTGTTTTTATAAAATACTACTGAGCTTGCCAATCTGTTTTCCATGTTGGAAACAGTTGAGGAGAGCACATGAGAAGGGGGCGCAGGGGAAACAGCAGGAGATGTGACAAGGGATAGGCACAGTGGCAGCAGTTTAACATGACAAAGAGAGACCAGAAATTAGGGAAAATAGACATAAGAACTTTAAAACCTGGGAGTGTCTAAGTGCAAAAATACTAGCGTTTTCAATACCCACAAAGGTATTTCTGTTTATTCTAGAACAATAAGTGGCATACATAATTTGAATGAAATAATTTGACAGTGAGATAGTTGTCTGTCAGAGTTAAATCCTATATCCTATCTTTTGTTTAAAACAATAAGTAATATAAATTTTTAAAAGATATCTATGAAATAAAGTTAAAAGAGATGAACATAAGTTAAAAGAGTCAAGTTAAAAAAGATATGGTCGAAGTTCATATCATTCACTCAGTTCTGATCATTCCTTTACCCTGTGTTCTTGTCTAATGACTAGGTATTCTTTTTGAAGAATTTTCCCAGGGCGTGCTGTTGTTTTCCAAAGTGTGCATGTGTGTCTGCGTATACAAGTCCCACCTTCCAAAACAGACTGTGGGGGGGGTTTGTTTTTTGTTTTGTTTTGTTTTGTTTTAAGAAGGCTCCACACCCAGTGTGGCGTCCAGTGCAGGGCTTGAACTCATGACCCTGAGATCAAGACCTGAACTGAGATCAAGAGTTGGACACTTAACCTACCAGCGCTCCTCGACTCTGGGTTTTTGAGAGTAGAAATGGTATCTTCTATTTGATCACCTCTTCACAGTCCATCAACAGTACTACAGAACTCTGACCACAGTCAAAGATTCTAAGTTCATGTGAGGGCACACTCTCTCCTGCGTAAGCAGTTACAGGCTTCTGGGACAATAAACACACACAGGACAAGAAAACCAACACACTCCTCCAAGGAACGACCATGCTTGTCAGTATCATCCTGGTTTATGCCACCAAATCTTTCCTAAAAGTGTCCCACTCTCCTTACCACCACCCACAACAGGCCAGGAGTTCCTATGGATGAAAAGATGTCAGTACTCTGGTAAACATTCAAAGCAGTTTTCACTTAAACTTCAGATCAAGACTTTGAGGGGAGGAAAGACCTAACCCTACATTTTCAAACACATACTCCTCTAAAGTCAGGGTTTAAGAATCACAGAAGGGCACCCATTGCTCACCTTCCCCCAGCTTGGCAAAGTCCTTGTTTAGCAGTTCCTCAGCTGTGAGTTTGGAGAAATTGTCATCATCAAAGGGATTCCACGTAGAACCTTCTGAAGCATTATAAACGTTTTGCTGGGAGGTCCGAGGAGAGCCTGATGGAGTGGTGGTTGCAGACCTATGTAGGTTCCCACCCCCACGAAATGAAAAGAGTTGACAAAGGGTTAATCTACTTTCTCTTTGTTTTGAGATCAAATTGTTTTCTGAGTCAAACCATTCTTCTCTGCAATAGTTTTCTGAAAGGGCTTTCCATGGCAACTGGACAGTTTCCACAGATAACTTTTATCACCGTGTGAAATAAATGTCTCCCTTTACTTCATGATCCACTGTCTCCCACTACTTCTTTAACCTCTTGCTTATATTTTTGGTCTCCTCTGCCAGTCCTTTCACAATCCAGAATCCCAAAGTGACCTGTTCCGAGGCTTGTGCCTCCTGTGGCCTCCGCCATAACAGCCACAATGACTGCCCCCAGGCTGGCTGGGACTGAAGCCTTTTCAGGCTGCCTCCCATCTGTCAGGAGGATCTAGCACACAGAGAATGAAGGGCTGCCGTGAGCAATCACCATCAAAGTTAAGGAGAAATAAAGACAGTTAGCAATATCTTGTGTTTCTGGGTATCATTGCCTAATTTTCTTCTAAAGTCTCTCTTGATGCCATTTGCATTTAACTAACGACTTCAAGAGTTTTACTTTAGAGTCCATGGTTCCAAGAAAGCTGAGGGTCCAAAACTGCATTCACCTAGCAAGCACTCATTGCAATCCACTTTACTTCAGGCACAGAGCCCGTCACTAGATTTACAATGGTTAAGACATGGTCCTCGTCTTGGAGGAATCTGCAGGCTAGGTCAGCTGGATATACAAATAAATAATGATAATATAATGGGATACATCTCCAAAAAGGTTCAGATAATTTATATATGACACCCAAGGGGTCAGAGAAAAGGGAACCTCTGACATCGATTTTGATGAATAAATAAGCATTTCCTAGGTGGACAAGGAGAGCGGTAGTTCAGGGAGAGGGCACAGGATGAACAATGTGGCCACAAAGACAGAGAATGACACGTCCACCAATGTGATGTAACAGTCTTTGGTCTGTTAACCAATGAGTTCAGATATTATCCCACTGGCAATGGGGAGCCAAGGAAAGATCTTTATCATGGAGAGGGTTGGTCAGACTAAGATTTTAAAAAATACTCTGTGGAACATGGAATGGATGAGAGAATGGAAACAGTAAATCAAGTAAGAAATTATTTCTGAAGATCAGTATGGTCTATGTACTACAGGCAAATTCAGTTTCTGAATGAACACAGACACAGACGTACCTTTACATATATATAACTGTGCTCCTCTACATACAGATGCAGGGAATTACATAGCAGTGGCCCACAACAGCCCTAGCCCACACAAGTGAAAAAGAGAAAGGGGAAGCACCACATACTTGGACTTATTGAGGCTGGCTTCAGCTGCAGCTGCCTGGAGCAGCTGGGTGGATTTGCTGGCAGGGACCCCAAAGACGGCACTGTGGGTCACGTCACTGAGAATCCGCCTGTGCCCAGCACGCTGGGTTTTGGGGGATGAGGGAGGAGTGAGAGATCCGAGTTTCTGCCCCTGGACGGTCGGAGGTGGGGTTGTTTGAACCTTTGGCTGTTGTCTTACTGGGGCTTGAATCTGCTGGAAAAAAAAGAAATGGCAAGTGTTTCAAAAAGAAGGGAAAGGAAAAACAAACAGACAAGCATAATAAAAAATGACACATGACAGCTAACACGGGACTCAAGTGGCTGAATTTACCAAGAGCACCAAGAAAGAAAAAAAGCAGTTTTGGACAATCTGAGCTCTAGCTGTGGGACTGACGGCATGGTGTTTATCTGATGCTCAGACATAAATTTCCATCTTCATCAGCAATCCTCTACAGAGCAGCCATACACAATACAGCCCAGAGCATAAGGCTGCAGAAGCTAGTCCTCATCCCCCAAACCAAGAATGTATCCTACAGGACCACTTTCCGCTTCTGGGGTCATGTAGGAGCTCATTCAGAATGCCTCCAAAGAGCATGCTTTAAGCAATCTACCACCACAGTCAGATGCCAATGAAGGCACAGCTCCAGCTAAAACACATTTGAGCTGAATAATTTCTGCCAAGAGATCCCTGACTCTGACAGAGCTCAGACTACTGGTTAGGAATAAGTTAGAATTCCATTGTGATTCATAAATGGTAGTGTTTTTGTTTTGCTTTGTTTTGTTTTGTTATTAAGGCTCTTTATTTCACTATTAAGGTGGGTCTACAAGATTTTCTTTCTGTGGCTCCCCTGAGAAAATGTACAGGATTGGAGCAAAGGGATTAACTTGTTCCCACCTTTAGTTTGAAAATGGCACGGAAGAACAAGGTAGAGAATATAGTAAGAAATAAGAAAAGCCCTTGATGACAATTGATCTAGTAACACAAGGACTCTTCAGAAGGCAGAACAAACTGTCACCACAGAAAAACAAATAGGAACATCTTGTGGCCATGTGGTTAGACCTCAAGCATCTGATACAATCTACAAAGTGCTACGTCAAGAAGATGAACAAAAAATAGCACTAAGAAGGCCACCTAATGCTTTAACTCTGTCAGTCCAGAGACAAAATGATTCAGAATATTAAAGGACTCAGGTATTAAACTATCCCTTCCCTCCAGTCCCTTGTTTCAGACTAAGATGTCCCTCCATGCTGCAGCTCAGCCCTCACATTCAGTGCCTTCGTAGGTAATCCTGAGAGAGAAGGGAAACCAGAGGGGCCAGCTACTTGGGTCAGGATGCTGACAGCCTGAGATTTTGTCCCCATATTGACGCAGACTCTGAATTAGACTGAGGCAGGTTTATATGCACGTATGAGTACACGTATGAATGACACAGAACAAGCCTCTAACATCAGTCAGGTTAAGGTCAGAGGGAAAAGCAGCTGACACATCTCTGAGGGAGAAGCAGTCTGTTCTGGGAAGACCAGAGCTCCGGCTCCACAACTTCCAGTGGCCCAGGGCTGTACCTACAACAGCCGACCTAGAACCAGTACCCACAGAGACCACCATGGCTTTAAGGACAGAACAAGATTAGCTAATTTCCTCGAGTCTAAGACAGTCATTGCTTTGAGAAGGATATACTTCACTGCTGAGTTCCTTTATTTTGAAGAGTCCAGACTACTTGGACAACATTTCCCTTCTTCTTACCTATCCCCATAGGCAGCATAGTGAAGAGCAGACACTTCAGGAGGACACCTTACGCTATCACAGCTATCTACTAATACAAAACCACTCCAATCCGTTCAGCTACTCCTCACAACAGCTCCATCAGGCAGACAGTTTTATTTCCATTTCAAATCTAAGAATACGAGAGACAAAGGGACCTTAGCACAGATTCCAACTCCCTCATTTCAGAGGAGCTGAGACCAAGGCCCCCTGAGGTTAATTAAGGGCTCGCTCACGGTCATAGAGTCAACTGGGGACAGAATCCACGTCTCCTGATTACTGCTCAGGACTCTCTTTTCTTCACCATCTATGTCTCCTCCAAAGATGGGATTAGGAAGGGGAAGGGGGAAACAGACAAAGCATAGTGGAGAGAGAATCAAAGTAGACTCAGATGTCTGTCTTGCTAGAGATTGTTTTAAAGAACAAAAATATGTAATTATAAAAGGAGTACACTCAGGTCCAGGAATGCAACAATATACACAAAAGGGGGGAGGGAACCACCCAGACTTCCATCCCACTATCCTAATACAACTGTTTTTATCTTTTTGGAATCTTCTATTTAAGTCCCTTTTCAAGTACATACTTTTCCCATAATTTCAATATTATCTCATGACCGTTTCACACTGTTGTACAGATGCTATAACCATGATTTGTAACGGCTGCACAGTTGGCTTCTTGAACAATTAGGTTACTTTGATTCTTTTGGCTGTTACTAATAAGTCTATAATAAACATTATGGCATATTACCATTTTCCTTTTGTAGATTACTGCTTTAGGATGGCTGCAGAGTATTCTCTCTCTTTTTTTTTTTAAAGATTTTATTTATTTGACACACACAGAGAGAGAGAGAGAGAGAGACAGCAAGAGAGGGAATACAAGCTGGGGAAGCGGGAGAGGGAGAAGCAGGTTTCCCGCCAAGCAGGGAGCTGGATGAGGGGCTCGATCCCAGGACGCTGAGATCATGACCTGAGCTGAAGGCAGACATTTAACTGACTGAGCCACCCAGGTGCACCCAGAGTATTCTTTTTTTTTTTTTTTTTAAGATTTTATTTATTTATTTGACAGATGGAGATCACAAGTAGGCAGAGAGGCAGGCAGAGAGAGGAGGAAGCAGGCTCCCCGCTGAGCAGAGAGCCCGATGCGGGGCTCGATTCCAGGACCCTGGGATCATGACCTGAGCCGAAGGCAGAGGCTAAACCACTGAGCCACCCAGGCGCCCCCAGAGTATTCTTTACGCGCCCCCAGAGTATTCTTTACACTCACTCACTTGCTCCTCTAGGTAAGTCCTAGAGGATGGGTCAAATCTGGGAAGCTCTCTGACTCCTGGCAGAAGCAAGTTCTGCTCCTGTTCTTTCTCTATCCCCTCAACCAACTACCCCAGAGCGAAGTGCTCAAGGTACATTTTTAGCCAAGGAACATCGAGAAGGTTTATAATTCATTCCCAAGAGAGGGACAGCAAAGAGGAACATCATAAGAAATGTAGTCAGTTACTGTTGATCATTTCGTCCCCCTGGATGACCATTTGTTATTATTAGCCTTAAACACAGATCAGGATTCTTTGGTTCTTTCCTCAGCTCTGCTATCAGTCTGTGTGTCTTGGGTAATCCCTTTCTAGCCTGGGACTAGTTTCCAGTTCCAGTAAATGAGGGGAATAAACTAGATAATTACAATCTCAACTGCCTATATCATATAATAATTTTATGTTTTTAGATTTTATTTACTTATTTGACAGAGAGAGACAGAGCGAGAGAGGGAACGCAAGCAGGGTGAGTGGGAGAGGGAGAAGCAGGCTTCCCACTGAGCAGGGAGCCCGATGCACGGCTCTCTATTCCAGAACCCTGCAATTATGACCTGAGCCGAAGGCAGACGCCTAATGTCTGAGCCACCCAGGCACCCCTACAATAATTTTTTTAAAAACTCCATTAACAAGAAGAACTTCAGTTCGTATTAAAAATAGAGAAAGTGGCTGTCTACCACACACCTGCAGGGAAGACTGAGTTGTTTCAGAAACGAAGGTGTAAAGACACTGACACAAACTAAGCTGAGGCTCAAAGAAGACAATCTATTTACAGCAATGCTTCCTTTTTGAAAACATGGTTTTCCGGTTTAAGATGGGTGACAAAACTCTATTAGAAATCAATCCTCAGAAAGACGGTTTCTTACTTTTCCTTCATTTGGCTAGTAGCTGGACTTCCCTGGGAATGAGAGAGTAGCTGTGATACTCTATTGGCTGGATATGTACGATGCCTTTTTCTATCACTAGCATATTTTCTTCACGATCACTCAGAAATATGTGAGTACAGAATTAAGAGCACATGGTAGAGGAAAAACACATCGTGCCTGAGGTTGCTGAAGCTGTAAAGATCAATCAGGAGAGGAGGAAGAAGTTCTGACGCTGTAGTCAGCCAGTATCTAGAAGTGGACCTGCCCAATTTCTGAACCAACAAGATGGCTCCCGCAGTACGCAGGTGCTCTGGTGCCCAGAGGATTGGGTCATGGTAAATGGTCCCACCAAGGAGGCCCCTCAAGGCCGCTACCTGGTAGACTTAGATGAGGTCATGTTGCCGAAGACCAAGAATAAGTAAAGCCCTATCAGGCGTCAGGGGAGGCCACGCAAACCTCCAGACACTGGAGAGGCCACAGTGGTCAAACCCCCCCTTCAAGGGAAAGGGATTCACTCTGATCCTACCTGGGTCCTTGACTGACCTACACGGGCACCGACACAGACAGCGAACAGCTCTTTCTGCCAGTCTAATTTTAGAGTGATAAATAAGAATGTTTCTCTTCATCAGTAGCCTAGAATCGTTTTTGTTAAACCTCTTACCTTCTACAGAATGCCTCTTCCGGACCTCAGGCATAACAAGAGAACAAAAATCAAGTATTTTAACCACAAGCCTGGGTCAGTCGCCTCTCCCTAACGCAGGGGCCCCGCCCTGTGGCGGGCCCGCCCGCTGCGCTCTCCTGCTTGGGGATTCCGAGCCCTAGCCGGCTCTTACCGCCGGCTCCGCGGGCGCCTGCGGGGCTGCGGCAGGGGGCGCCTGGGGCTGCTGTCCCGCTGCCGCCACCGCCTCCGCAGTCTTCTGCTGCAAGGCGGCCTGCTGAGTCAGCAGCTGTTGTTGGTGCAAGCTCGAGGCCAGCAGCTGCTCTTGCTGCTGCTGCGGCTGGGGCTGGTAGAAGTTCTGCATCAGCTGCGGCTGAGAGCTTCCTTGCGACACCACCGGGAACTGGGTGATGGCTGGTTGCTGGGCGGCTGCGTGCACTGCCTGAAACTGAGCAGGAGAAGTGGCAAAAAGGACGAGGGGAACAGAGTCTCTCAGAACGGTATTCCACAAAAGACCAATGTCTCAGGAATAACCGAGCCCAGTCTGAAGCCAAAGGCAAGGGCAGGCAGAAGTCTCTTAGCTTGGCCTCAACTTAGGCGGGGGACCTCAGGGCATTAAAATTAACCCCACAGCACCTGACACTGCCAGGCTGCATCGAGGGCACTGGGCCACCTCCTGGCTTTGGGGAGTTTCTCTGGCAAGCCTAAGGGCGTCCCTTTGACTGTGCATTTTGTGACTCCCCGTGCTGGGGTGTAAGGGAAGCTAATGAACGATCTCCCAAACCCAGAAGTAATCTTGTTTGTAAAGGGATTTGTTAGCAGCCAAGATTAAAATGCTTTGCTCCACGAACAGGATGAAGCAGGGACGACACTGAAAATAACCTAAACGCTAAACCAGCTATAAAGACTCTGTTCGAGCCCTGCTGAAAATTATTTCCCTATAGCTCTATCTTACTAACTGTCCCATCTTTAAACATTCAAAATGTTCAGTATCCTCTAGCACACTTACTAGTATTTTATCTTGTGTCTATAACCGATTCTTTCAAGTTATATTCTCTTATAAACTGCCAATGGATAGGGATACTTCTTTTTTTTTTTTTTTTAAAGATTTTATTTACTTTTTCAACAGACAGAGATCACAAGTAGGCAGAGAGGCAGGCAGAGAGAGAAGGAAGCAGGCTCCATGCCGAGCAGGGAGCCCGATGTGGGGCTCGATCCCAGGACCTTGAGATCACGACCTGAGCCAAAGGCAGAGGCTTAAACCACTGACCCACCCAGGCACCCCTGGATAGGGATACTTCTTACCCATTTGTCTATTCCACACTGCTAAGGGCTATGGGACACACACACACACACACACACACACACACACACACACATGCCCCAAAGAAGCGCCTACTAATCAACAAAAGTCAAGAACTTGCCTTTGAGCATCCCGAACACTGTTACTTAGTTGTAGAGTTAGGGGATTGGATAAGGTTTGCCTCCTGGGGCAAAAGTTAAAGGGTTAGCAAAGAAGCAGATGTCAACAAGTAGCTGCTTATTTATAACTGCAAAATGCTGGAAATGACCAAATGTTTATCAACAGGGGACACTGATTGAATAAACCATGCTATGTATCCTTAAAATAGAATGCTCTCAAGTTGTAAACAGGCATGAAGGCTCCCTCTATATTATGGGATGGAGAGAGCAGAATTCTGTAACTTTGAAACTGTAAATGTTTTTATATTTTCACACAACAAAATTCACCCCAAATTTGGCAATAACTACAAATCAAAAGCAAAATGAAACAAATAAACCTGTGTATCTAACTGATTCCAGAAAATAATGAGCAAAACATTTTAAGAATGAAAAGGACAAAGAAATCTTAAACTGGGGCACCTGGGTGGCTCAGTTGGTTAAGTCTCTGCCTGTAGCTCAGGTCATGATTCTGGAGTCCCAGGATCGAGTCCAACATCAGGCTCCCTGCTCAACGGGGTGTCTGCTTCTCCCTCTGAACCTCTCTCCTCTCCTGCACAAGCACTCTCTCTTTCACTCTCTCTCAAATAAATAAATTAATAAATAAATAAATAAATAAATAAAATCTTTAAAAAGAGAGAGAGAGAGAAATCTCAAACTGTTTCCAGTACTCGTGTTGGCACTCTTATCTTGAAATTATAAAGCAATTAAGTGATTATGTTAATGTTGTTAGGAATCAAGATCTTCAGATCAGAAAAATACAAATATAAAATCCAAGGAGTTAAGCAAAAATCCTATAATTACAATTCTGAATTAGGAATATAAATTTGCATTCATTGTGTATATTCTGTTAACAAAACAAAAGAAACAAAATATATTTCCCAAGTATCCACTCAAAGGCCTAAAAACAATAACTGACCCATTAACAAAGGAGTATCCTTAGCATCAAAATGTGGTCTCTAAATACCATTTTTAAAAGGAAAGGGAGCTCCTTCAGAGAGATGGCTGTATCCAGGTCAAGGGCAGAGTGAGACTGGAATGACCTGTTACAATAAACAGCAAGGAAACCATTAAAGATGGCTGGGTCACCACCAAAGGACCTAGGAACTGGCCTAAAGAGACTTCTACTGGCCAAAGCTGGGTCAATTTAGGCATCAAAATAAAATTTTAAAAACGGCAATGTCTGGAAACATAAATATGTTTAAATCCCTGAATTCATGACACTAAAAACAAATCAAAAACCTCTGTTCACCTTTAGATGACACTAGAAACAAACCCACTCTGAAAACTGGTAAACACAGGCAAAAAAACTCAAGCATTTTTTCTTGCCTTTTCTATATAAACAGTATGTCAGGGTCATCAAACAGTTGAGAAAAATTCTACTCAGAAAAATTCCAGCCCCTAAGTGAAGAGGGAATTTTAGAATATCACCATGTTTCCATGCCTGATGAATGAATGGACTGAGGAAATGATTAGCAGTTGCTGCTAAACTGATCTGGGACACTGAATGAATGGATCAGACAGACAATACCAAACTCATGGACTGATTTTAATATTGATAAAAGAGAGCGACAACCAGACCCTATACGCCTCCTGAAGAGATGCAACTGGAAGAACAAAGAACTATCCAACTGAATCAAATTTTGAGCAAGCCTCAAAAAATCACCAGTTTACACAGGGGATGGAAGAACATTTTATATGGCCGCAGGGATGCAATCAGCCAAATCCAGAAGGTGGAAAATTCTACAGGACAACTGACCCAGTTTCTTCAAAAAATTAAATGGCAAAGGGAAAAAAAAAGGGAGGGGGCATTATGAATAAAAGGGGACTTGGAAGATATGTCAATCATTATAAAATGAATTATACTCATAGTAAAAAATGTAGAAAAACTATGAAAAGATAATGGAAGAAAAAAGATTTGCATCTAAACATAACATGTGGGCCTTGTTTGGAACTTGATTCGAACAAGCCAAGTGAAATTAGGAGACATCAGGAGGTTAAACATTACTGGGTATTTTTTAAGAAGAAGAAATTATTATTTTTAGTATGGTAATGGTGCAATTGTGTTAGAGGGAAAAAAAAGAGAGCTAGAGAGAAGAGAAAAGGAGCCCCTTAAAACAGCTCCCTTGGTGAGGCTCCTCCATCAGCTGAAGAATTCCCCATGGCCCAAGAAAGGGGTGTGAGTGGCCCCATGATGCATCCTCTGTGCACAGCTTTCTGGTATTTCGTTCTGGAAGAAGCAATGATGCGATGTCTAGTGGCTCCCTGTCTTCCGGTTGCTTCTCAAGAAAGATGCCTACGTCTCCTGGGCCTGTCCACATCGCCGCCTCAGTTGGGTCAAGCAAGGGTAAGACTGAACGCTTTACCTGTTGAGCCTGGGCTTGCTGCTGCTGCTGCTGCTGGTGGTGGTAAAACGTGCCCGCGGGCTGCTGGGGTGGTGGCTGCTGCTGCTGGGGTGGTGGCTGCTGCTGCAGGGGCTGCTGCGGCTGCTGCGGCTGCTGCGGTTGCTGCTGCAGTTGTTGCTGCTGTTGCGGCTGCGGCTGTGGCTGCGGCTGCGGCTGCGGCTGCGGCTGCTGCTTGAGGAAGAGTTGCTGCTGGTGCTGGGGCGTGGCCTGGGCCGGAGTGGGCAGAGCCTGGGCTGGAGTGGGCTGTGCCTGCTGTGGGGTGGGTGGAGCCTGCGGCTGCTTGGGCTGAGACTGTGGTAGAGGCTGGCTGGGTGGGGGCTGGGTTTTTGGTTGGGGAACACTGGCTAAAAGGCCAGGCTGATTGCTGGATCCTGTAATGAGAATAAACTCCATATAAGGGCTTCAAACTCTTCCAGACAAAAATGGTTTGCTTTCTCTTGCCAAAGAAATAGAGAGGGGGGTGATAAGTAGACAGATAATCCCAAGATCCATGTGCCTCCGTCTTTTCATCTTCGTGCTGAACTACGTGCTTAGTGTTTTTCAAAACAAGGTTCAGGGACAAGGTTCAGTGCTTGCCTCCTTCAGAAAGCCTTCCCTTATTCACCATACCATCTGTCAATTACTCCTTTAGTCACCACCCGAGTCCATATTCAACTGGCCTTTGATGCTACTGTATTCAAATGCAATCTTTGCACTTAAAAGCTTCGGGACAAAAGCCTTCTTTGATATTTTACATGTAAGTTACACAAACCCAGTCTAGATGCCTGCCTATGAGTAGATGACCACCAAATTCACCAAAAGCAGCTTCCTGGTAGGGGAAGTGATGACTAAGGTCCATTACTGGATAATTTAAGTCCTCTAAACTAAATCTCATTAGAACCAGAATACCAAAACATGGAGTGGAAACAGATATTCTAAGTAGACAGAACATTAAAGAAACAACGCCTCTGTGTCCAAAAAAAAGAGAGTCTTGTTTCTTTCAAGGCCAAGAGAAGAAAATGAAATAAACATGAAAGCATGGGATGAATGGACCAAGCCAGAAAATCAGGGCCAAGACTAGAAAAAATAGAGGTTTCACGCTTCAGTGGTCTTGGAGGTCCACCACAGAATCCAGTGAGAGGACTCCCCTTTTGCCAGCCACGTGCCATATAATTTCAATGTGCACTCACCCCCTGTTCCTCAAGGCAAACCATTATTCCTCATGTGCCTCTGGATTCCATTTCCGAAGCAAAAGTAGTCTTCCCGAGACTTCTGTTACTGACCAGGATAACCAAGAGGTGTACCAAATTTCAAACCGAGTTACTGACCTGCAGCTTGGGGTGGGGGCTGAACCGTGGCCCTCTTTCGAGGCGTCAGGGCTGGCTGGATAGGAAGGATCCCTGGGTTTGGCTGAGTCTGCCCAGCCTTAGGCCTCTGCCGGGGTGCAATTGAAGTCTCTGTTGTGGGAATGGGATCTGTCAGTCTAGAAAAGGAAGCGGGGGGGACACAGATTCACATTAACGTGGGGAGAGTGGGAGAGGAGCAGACAGAGCACTTGATGGACTGGCTTTCCCCTCCACACTCATCCAAACCTTCCAGATCGGCTTAATCGACATTTGTCAAAGGGTATTACACAGGATGTTATGTGTTACTCGATGTTATGAAACAAGGGTTGGTGGGAAAGATGTTTAACACACTAATCAAAATACATCGAGCAGATTTCTTTCCAGCAGAACTTTTCATGGGTCCATGTGCATGGAGAACTTTGAAGAGAGCCCTATACCTGAACTTGGAATCCTTCGACCTAGTAATTCCTAGGATTTCCCAGAATATACTTTGGGGGATAATGGAAAGGGGTTTGAAACAGATGTTTTTCAGATATAGAGGGAACTCAAACTTGGTTAGAACTAGTTATCAAAACGGTCTCTCTATAATTAAAAAAAGCATGTAAATGAGTGACTCCAATAAGGCAAGTAGAAGGAATGAGTAAATAATTCAAGATAAAGGATTTGGGGACTATGACAGGGATCTATTTCCTCAATATACATGTACCTCTTCTTCCCAGGGGAAGAACTTTTAACTACTGTACACCTTAAATTTATTAATTTTTAACTTTTAACTATTTTTAGTTAAATTTTTAACTATTGGACACCTTAAATTTATACAACGTTATATACAAAATATATTCCAATTTAAAAATTTAGCTAGACTTCACCCAGAGTAAAAATCACATTGTCCAGCCTCTCTCATAATCAGGTGTGGCTATGTGTCTAAGTTCTGGCCTTACATGGGAAAGCAAATTGTCACATGGCAGTTTCCAGAAGCCTTAAGAAACAGCTAGGGTATGCCATTTGTCTCTCTTCTTTGGCTACTCCTTCATCTGTTGCTTGGAACAGGAAGTTACCGTTTTGGTCTGTGAGGTCATAGCTACAATTGTAGGGAAGGTAGAGTGATAAGCTTGAAGTAGCCTGGATGTGGGGCAGAACTGCCAAACCAACCACGGACTACTCACCTCCAGTCTATCTTATATGAGCCACAGTCATTTTGAATGTCACAGCCAAATCTAATTCAAATTAACACAGGGGGGACTGCTGGGTGGTCTTATTCCTTGTGATAATGTAAAAATTCAGGGATAACTTCTGTTCATTTAGAGCAGTTCAGTCAGCTGGCTGCCATCTAACTCAGAACAGAGTAGTGGTCTTTTGAAAATACACATTGGGGAGTATAACTGAAGTTATGGCCAAAACAAATGAGCTTCATGACTATTCCCAAAATATGTCTGGTACAGTCTCCATGAAATGTAAGATAGGAAGCAAAGCAGCAGGTCCCATGTGCCTTCCCCATGACATATCTCCAAGGGATGTCCACTGGGGACCCTGAGGCTTTCCTTTGTAATCCTGCTAGAGGGATGCTCTTGTGTGGGGTAGAGAACTTATAATATAAAAGCTATCATATTTGGGGAGGCTATAACCTGGGGAAGGAAGGTAGAAAAGAAAACAGGACAAATGTTGGAGAAGAAAGGCGTAAGAATAATACAGCCAACAGTGAGAAAGTCCAACAGACGTCTGTAGAAACCAAATGTTAATTAAGAATCTCCACACTGGATGGATTTCTCTCTCTTTTTTTTAAAGATTTATTTATCTGAGAGAGAGAGAAAGTGAAAGAGAGCGCGAGGAAGGGCAGAGAGAGAGAATCTCAAGCAGACTCTGTGCTGAGTATGGAGCCCAACACAGGACTCGATCCCACGACCCTGAGACCATGACCTGAGCCGAAATCAAGAGTTGGACACTCAACCAACTGAGCCACCCAGGAGCCCCTGGATGGATTTGTCTTAAGGGTAACATCTTAGAGATAAAGGGATTTGGAGTCAGAGAAAACTATATTTGAGCCTGCTTCCTGACTAACTGTGTGATAATAGGTATGCCATTTGACCTCTTCTTGCTTTGGATCCCTTCTGTAGGAGATGGAGAAAATAATACATCATGAAGCAGATGTGAATATCAGATGCATCAACGACTGTGAAACCATTTTTATAAACTGCAGAGTGCTCAAAATGTTAGTCTGAATGGCCCTCAATATGCTCTGAAAAAATATCTTTAAACAGGAGATCTGGCTCTAAGTTGTCCCATCTATGTGTTTGTGTGCAAATCATTCAATGCACAGAACAGAGTAAGGACCCAATATGGATGCTAGAATTCTGGGCTTTTTTTTACTAACCACATATTGATCAATTACCTTGGGCAACTTATAATTCTGAATCTGTTTCCTCATCTGTAAAATGAAAACAATAATGGTTCATAGATCTACTTCAAGGAAAATAAAGTCATCTTATTTATACAAAGAGCCTTGTACGGTATCTGCTATACACGATGCCTTAATGAAGAGTGGTTACTTTAAAAACAGAGTCAGAAAGAAAAACTTAACCTCTTGGGACTGGGGAGCAAATATGGTAATGCAAATGAAATCAATGTAAGTTACAGATAGGACACCTTAGGCCCAAATCTCTGGGCTGTAAGGCCTGTGTATTCTTGAGCATTCTGGATCCATACAAACTAACAGTTTCACAGTCACTAATGTTCACATGTGCCTTATGATACAGGTATGCTTTTCTTCGTTTGACACAACACAGCACCACTCAGAGCGGTACCAGTCATTGTCATTGTTATAAATGTGGGCCTTTGTGGGGCTGGATCCTTGCTTAGCCTCAGTACCTTCCATATTTGGGTCTAGAGCAATATGGGCATAAACCCGAATACTCAGCTAATGAGCTCAGCCCCAAAAGCAATTTCCAGAGGTGAGCACGGCCAACTTCAGTAAGGAACAGACTACAAAGTAACATTGTTATTGATTATTGAAAATTATTATTGAAAATAACACTGTTATTAATATTGTTTGCTGAATTTGTGAAAAATAAGTCTTAACTTTTGGAGCCACATCAGTGTTTACATTTATTCCATAAACATTTAAGAATGTTTTAAAATGTATAAAATTTAAAATGTACAAAACATAAAATGTGTAAAATTATTTTACCGTTCTATTAAAATTCACATATTCCCATCTAGGGTACTGCGTTGATAGTATGTGACTCACGTTTCCTTGCCATAGGAACATGGCAGAAAAAAGAGGTAAACACATCTCTTCGACTACCCTTGGAATCTGCCATTTGGAAGCACTGAGGCCAAGAGGCCGTGCCCCGCAGACCTGCGGCTTGAAAGGGGTCCAAAAACTATGTGCCCCCAGCTGCTGTGCTACTGAAATCCACTGCCATGCTCGCTCTGAGGCTATGCTTCCCACGGGCTGCTCCCAGCCTTTGACCCCAGACACAGGGGGATTAAAGTAGGCCTGTTCCTGGGACACAGGGGCTCCTCTGATGGCTGCCTTTGGCTTGAGGATTCCCTGACACCTTTGGTGAACCTTCCTTAAACTGTCTGGTAGTTTCTAGGTCACTTCTACCTACCCTTCCTTCCTCTCTCTGAGTCAGACTTATATCTCCTTCTGATGGTTCTTCCGGCTTTCCCTGGCTGCCTCCCTGTTTTCCCTCCTGGTCAAATAAAATCCTAGCTTCTTCAGTCCTCTCTTGGCACCTGCTTCTTGGAAGACCCCATGTTACCTGGAACGTGATTAGCTAAGATCCACAAGCTCTTTTGCTGTTCCGTGCCTTGACCGGCACTCTTTTGAGGTGGTCAGGGCCACAGAAAGTAAGGAGGAAAGGGAGGTGAAGGACTAGAGTGGAGAACCAGGCTACATGAAGGCCAGGACCTCTGTTTAGGATGTTCTTTTTGGCAATATTTTAAGTCAGCTGTTGCTTCCTCTCTGAATGCTCCTGTGCTTGTCCCCAAGCAAAAGTAAGAGCTGTGGAGTTCTTGATTCTCTTTCAAATGTAGATGGTTGCGTTTCCTTATATTCCTCCTTGCACTCCCAGGAAGAGACAGAGCTCCCTCTCCAGCTCTGGCCACGGGAGCAAACCAATCACCAGGCGCCTTCCCCTGCCACTGTGGCCACTGGCACGGGACCTGTGCACACTCGGGCGGTTCTTACCTGGCCTTTGGCTGGGTCTTTTTTGCAGCTGCCTCACTGGCTTTCACTGGCTCAGGAAGCTTTGCAGGAATGGGAGAGTTCTATAGAATTGAAAGGAAACCACAAAAGGACATTGCAGATTTCTTTGTAAATGAATACCAGCATAACTAGGCCAACAGAAATACGCGTCCGGGATTTTCCGGCATGGCTTCCAGGCCCCGATGTCTAGTAGAGGGAAGTGAAGTCAACCAAGGGTAGATCCTGCCAGTCTCAGCCCCCTTCAGGGAGGCACCATATCAGAGAAGAGGACAGAGCAGCCTGAGTCAGGTGCGCTCCTCCTCCGCCGCTCCCAAACTTCTGGACCCTTCGTTTCCTACCACACAGCTTGGAGGTGGTGTTGAGAATGGAATGGGAAAGAGATGCCTGTAACCTGATAGTTGTATCAGTAAATAGTAAACCCACACTATTTAAGCCATGAGCTAGACCTTACAGAAGTCAGTGCTGACTAGCAGCATGTCCAGCTGGGATTCATTCCGTCTTCTGTCTTGAACGCTGGGAGAAAACCAGAGCCACAAACCATTTGAAATGGTTGCAGCAGTGGGACTGTCCCAGTGCATGAGGCACCCGTTGACCCACAAGGCCAGCAGAACTCCTACTCCCTGGATTGTGCACCGGCTACCTGATACAGGGTCCAACTCTGGAGGGAGCATTCCTGTCCCCAACCACAAGACAACTGCTTAGCACTGCTGAGTGAGTGCCAAATGGCTTGAGACTCGTGAAGCTGACTTTTAAAAAACCAGTTACTAATCTGAATGCTTCTAATTATACTTCAGGTTATTTAACTTAATGAATGGGAAAGTGGGGCAGCAAAAGGAAAAAAAGGTAATGTTAGGCTCTGTACAAGATTCCTCATTTTAATCTGGAAAGCTGACAAATGGAATACTAGTCATAGTAAATGGTTAGGCTTTTAGGAGGGACCTTCCATTTCCTTCATGTTTCTAGGTGGGGAGAATTCCTGCTAGGATATCTCTCCTTGCTTCTCTTCCTCTCTCCAAGCATTCCTCTCCCAAGGGTGAAGCGTAACTTATTTGATAGGACTGGGAGAAAAAAGTGAGCTCACCTGGCTCACCTGTGCCCTTCCTCCTTTGAGAGGCTGTCCCTACAAAATCAGGCGTTCCCTGCTCCGTCATGTGGATCTAATGTTGGGGAGCCTGACTGGTCAAGCTACGTTCTCTGATTCAACCTTTTTTTTTTTTTTTTTTTTTTTAATTTATTTGACACAACAGAGATCACAAGTAGGCAGAGAGGCAGGCAGAGAAGGGGAGGCAGGCTCCCTGCTGAGCAGAGCGCCTGATGAGGGGCTCAATCCCAGGACCCTGGAATCATTACCTGAGCCGAAGGCAGAGGTTAAACCCACTGAGCCACCCAGGCGCCCCCTCTGATTCAATCTTATTAGTAATACAGTCAACACTCTGAGTTCCATCTGAATGATTCCCATATCTGATTCCAAAAGTGGGAGTGAAAGAGGAGTGTTATTTATTAGTACCTTTAAGCTCCAACAGTGAAATCACGATTGATGTTCACGATTGGGAAAGTTCACGATTGGGAAAACTGGGAAGACAATTTTAGATTAGAACTTACCTATTATGGCATGCATTAGTAAAATATTTAAGGGAGCTGGATCACACAGGAAAAATATGCTAAGACTGTAAAAAGGGGGTTTGTAAGCACTGTACTCCAAACACTGTTGAGTGCAGAGCTTAGGATTACTAAATGTAGAAAACACTCCTATGGCCTGATGTGTGTGAGGAGGGTAGCAGGAAAGGAGGGTGAGTTATAGATGGTGGAGTATAGAAGCAGAATCAGGAAAGCTCTGCTGCAGGAAAGGAGAAAAGGGTCAAGGGGCTTATGTTCCAGTAGGTATGGGAGCAAATTCAGAGGAAGGAAATTCAGGAAGACAGCCTGCCTTACCACTGCTAGGGAAATACAACAGGCACATAGCTCATAGTGAAATGTGGAAATAAACAGGACAGTAGGTTGGTCAATCTTCACCCAAAGTACTCAACTCAATCCCTAGGGATTTTGTTTTTTTTTGTTTTTTTGTTTTTTTGTGTTTTTTTTTTGGTGTAACTGCCTTAGTTTAATCATCAAATTCTATGGGAAAACTGGATTCTCTTTATAGTAGATTATTTTTCATAGTTAGCTATTTTTTTCATAGTTAACTATTTTTCATAGTTAGCTTTGCTTGCATGCCCCCTACCACATAAAACAAGGGACATCTATATTCATTAAAAGCTGGTTTACGATCCAGGAATTTTAAATGACAATTTGAAAATATTTACTTCCCCCTAAAAAGTACCTTTCACATACCTGTACATTAGGAATTGGGCATTCTTTCTTGAGTAGTTTAAATGAGAAGTAGGACACCTGGTAAATATCCGGCCTTTTATCAGGGTCTGGTTCCAACATATACCCTAAGACAAACATATGTGAACATATTTAATAATACCCTAATATTTATTACATTAGCTAGGAAACATAATTTCTCTGTTATCAATTTTTTTTTCATTTTTATTTCTCATAAAAGTCAAACAGTGTAATTAGCTCTTTTCCTCCCCTCTCAGAAATCGAAGTTCTAACTTCCCTAAAACTTTTAATATGTACAAGAAAGTAACAAAGTTTCTGAACTGAAACAAAGATACTTCAAGTTCACATTCTGTGGCTTAGACAACAGAGAGTCAAGCAAGCTCTCATTATTAAAGTTACCACCTTCATATTCTGGTACCTATGAAGTTATAAGCTTCTGGCTTCCTTATCTTGCTAAACAAATGATTATCCTTGATATTTATAATCAAAACTTTTTTTTTCACTTTCTTTCTTTCTTTTTTTTTTTTTTTAGTAATCTCTACCCCCAACATGGAGCTAGAACTCGTGACCCTGAGGATCAAGAGGCACATGTCCACCAACTGAGCCATCCAAACACCCCTCAAAACTCAAATTTTAAAAAACTGACTTATTACTCCTTTGTTGGAGATATTAGCTGGTTTCCATTCTAAAAGAAATTACAAAATGATAAATATATCTCTACTTTTACATATTCTATAGAACATTTGTTTATTTCCAGATCCTTTAAGCTTCCGCCCTTTCTGAAGCTGGAAAATTCCCCAGGAAAAACATCTTTGTGAAGACACACAAACATATACAAGCATACATACAAACAACAATGCAAGGCCTTACTGTTTAAGGAACCAAATGAATGGTCTGAAACACTAAGGCTGAAGAGGCTGCAGTCTTGTGAAGGCCCAGCAGAAGAAGCAGGGTTTGGGGGCGCCTGGGTGGCAAAGCTGGTTGAGAGTTCAACTCTTGATTTTGCCTCAGGTCATGATTTCAGGGCTGTGAGACTGAGCCCCGCGTCCAGCTCCTGGCTCTGCCAGGGCTCTGCTTGAGATTCTCTCTCTGTCTCCCTCTGCCCAACCCTACCCCCCAGCTCGTGTACTTTCTCTCTCTCAAATAAAGTAATTTAAAAAAAAAAAAAAAGAAAGAAAGAAAAAGCAGGATTTGGGCTTGAAGGCAGGAAAGAATTTAGTCGGTCAGGGGAGAGAGGGAAAAAAGATATTCTTGGTGAAGGAATAGTCTGGGCAAAAATGCACTTGGGTGAAAGGCAAGGGAAGGCTCTGTTGTGAGGAAATGCAGGTGCCAGAGGGACAGAGAGAAATTTCCTTGTCAGAGAACACAGGGAAATAAGGCTGGGTGGGTGGGGTGGAACCAGAGTATGAAGGGTCTTAAATGCCATGCTAAGAATGTGGGCCCTCCTGTGGGACCACGGGCGAACAAGAAAGTTTACTATGGGGACCTGCAAGGGGGGCGCTGTGTAAGACTGATCTCATGGTGAGGCGGCGCTGGACTGACTGACTGAGGAGAGAGGCTAGTGGCCACCCCACCCCTATAGGCACACGCTGGCCCAGTCTGTATATACTGTGGTGAGTGATGAGAATAGAGAGAATGTGATGGCGATAGGAGAGACTCCCAAGAATGAGCACTGCTTAGAAAACGCCTGACTGTACTCTCTTGCGAGCCAAGTCCAAAGAAAACCTAAAGTTTCCATTATCCCAGCTTGAATGGTGACACCACTGATAGAAACTGAAAAAAGAGGGGAATTATGTATCGGGAGTAATTGGGCAAGGACAATAAATTTAATTTTAGACCTGTGACTTTACGGTGACTGTGGAAACTTCAAGCAGTTTGTAAAGAAATAGGTCAGAGTTTGGGAAAGATGTGATACAGACACTCATGAAGAGTTATTTTTCCTAATATGAATGGCTGTACAAATGTTAAGAAATGTAGTCCCCCCAAATCCTACCATTCTAGCACCAGATCTGGCCATTTCCTATATATCGTTCCAATCTCACTTAGGTAGCTACAGTTCTAGAATAGATATACAGTAGTCCCTCCTTATCTGGGGTGGGGGAGGGGAGAGGGACAAGTTCCGAGACCCCCAGTAGGAGCCTGAAACCGCAGATAGTACGGACTCCGAGAGATACTGTTTTCTCCTATACATACATACGTATGATAAAGCTCAATTTATAAATTAGGTACAGTATGAGATCAACTAACAATAATAATAAAATAATTATAACTATATGCTACAATAAAAGTTAGGGGAATGTGGTCTCTCCCTCTCTCTCAAAACATCTCATCACACTGTACTCACCCTTCTTGTGATGACGTGAAAGCATAAATGCCTGTGTGATGAGATGTCGTGAGGGAATGACACAGGCATGGTGACATAAGGTTAGGCCACTATTGACCCAACTATACATCAGAAGTAGGATCGTCTGCTTCCCAGTGCGGTCAGCGGTGGGTAGCTAAAACCGCAGAAAGCAAATCCGCGGATAAGGAGGGACTACTCTCCTGCTTTACCTCTGAAAACCATCCAACAACCATTAAATGCCACACACTGTCTCTTTAAATCACCCCCCCAAACACACTTTTTGTTTCAGAATCAGAAGAAGAGGATTGATGAAGTTGCCCAGTGGAATGGGTAGTTGTCTAACAGCTGTAACTATGTTACCCTGGGTAAGTTACCTATACTTTCTCAGCTTTGGCTTCTTTGTTTGTATAATGGGGATAATTACATTTACTATATGAGATTTTAAGAATTAAATAAGGTACGAGGAGGCCCTTAACAACTGTCAGATGCTCTACCCATATCTCCTTCTATTTTTTTCAATGCAAACCCACCTGGGACCCAAACGGGGACCCAAACCATCCCAGGACTTATAACCCATCATGGTTAAAATTTAGATGCTAAATCCCCTGACCAATGTGAAACGATGATAAACTATCTCTGCTTCACATTTAAGTACAAGGGCTTGTGCAAAGATTACTCGTTCTACCATCTGGTTAATGAACTGGCGCATATGCTCGCTAGGATGATGCAGAAGAGTGGAGCGTCTAAAAAAACACTTTAAACCAAGCACCGAGTTTAAATGCTTGTTATCAAAATCCAGTGATTAACCTAAAGAGAGAGAAAAAAAATCTTGTTCCACAGAGTTATACAGTCTTAATTATGTATTCACTCCAGCCAACGCATGGCAATCATTTCAATTTGAGTTGCTTCCAGTTTTGCAAGGATGAATTTCTTATCACTTGATAGGAGTCAGCTGGACTCTTTCATACCGACTGCAAGAGAACAGAGCAGTTCTGTGCCGCTCAGAGCACAGTTGGTATTTCTGCTCAAGTGCAAAAGAGCTTAGATTTCTGGTAAAAAGATCTAGGGCTCTAACTAACACTGTTTTATGTCATCTTTGAGTGACCAACCATTACCGGATGACTTATTTTTGCGTCCAACCCATCACTCCTGCGATCCAGTCCCTCTGTCCCCCAGTTCATTCCTGGAGATTAGAGGTAAACACATGAAATGAGAAACTTGAAATACTTACTAATTAGGCAGTGCATGTCTTGGGAATATCGAGAGTTATCAGGAATTGTGAAGTTTCCATCACAAATTGCCACCTGACTCTCTCCAAATGGCAAAGTGAAGTAGCATAATTTATACAACAAACATCCGAGAGCCTAAAAAAATAAAGCAGATTGCTACAAGTGGTTTATTTACCATAACTGCTGATGGGTCTACTGAGAGATACTGGCCTTGTCCACATTTAGATGTGTCCAAGCAGATACAAACACTCTGTACTATTAACCTATCAGAAACTTGAATTTAGAACTCAACACCACTATTTAGCTGCTGATGTACATTATTTTGACCATCGTTACCAAACTGTGTTCCAATAAGGAACAAGCATTTCAGCTATTTTGCTCTTAAGAATTAGTAATGCATATATGAAAACCACCTAAATAAAGGGCAGGTCACCTGAGTAATTTTCACAGAACTCTAAAGTCATTTCCTTTGACATCCTTCACGAGGCAGTGGCTGGTCACCTGGAGTGAAGAATAACCCTGAGGGTCAGGTAGACAGTGACATGGTACAGTGGCCACTCTCGCTATGGCACTGTCTGCATTAAACTTGGGGGTTTATGGTGAAGACTGCTGGTATCTGAGGTGCGGATAGGTTAGTTGACACCTACCCAAATGTCTGCCTTCGTAGTGATGATTTTGCCACTGTACAGGTTGACCATTTCTGGTGCTCGATAGGACAGCGTTGTGTATCTAAAATCAAGAGATTTGTTTTTTGTTAAATATGTCAATGCTATAATTAAAAACCAGGGGTAGCAGAAATAACTTTTTATTTTTTTGCATTTTTAAGAATTTTTTTCCATTTTATTTTATTTTATTTCTTTTCAGTGTTCCAACATTCATTGTTTATGCACCACACCCAGAAATAACTTTTTAAAAACATATACATTAAATTTAAAAAGTCTAGTTCCCTGGGAGCAATCCGCAGAAGAGAGCATGAAATACCAGTGCAGAGAAAACGAAAAGCTGTCCTTGGTCTACCCCCATGGCCCTCTAGAAGCAGTCCTTCTATCTGAGAGCACGAGGAGACCCAGACACTGAGGCACTTCAATAAACACTAAAAGCAACTCTTCTTGGGTCCTCCAATGATAAAATCTCCTGCAAATCCTTGTTGTCTGATAGTGTATTTATACTGTATTCTCTGATTTGTTTTTAAAAACAGCAATTCCCCTAGATTTGGCTCAACTCAGATATATCATACAGGCTGAGACACTGGAGAAGGGCAGAACAGGGTGGGAGGTGACTGGTCTCTGCTGCTAGAAGAGGGATGAAGCAACAGTCCTCCTCTTATCTCCAGCTCAAGTAAAGACAGTATAAGCTCAGCTTCAAAGCAAGTGTCTTGATGTTACCAAGCACATGACTATGCTGCTCAAGTCTCCAAAGCCCAGAGGGCACCATGGTTCAGCTGTCCACCAGCATCATGGACCAAAGTCTTCCTGCCCCAGCTTGGCTGCTGGGGATGAAGCAGGAAAGGAGACTGAGGATCAGGACAGAGGTAGGCAGACGAGACTGCTGGTTTATTATTGGTATTAGTGAGTGTTGTTGCCTGTGAAAAACCTAATACTCTGGACAAGAAGGGGAAGAGGGTTCAGGTTCTTACTGGAGCCAGAAATCTAAAGATGCTTTTTCTCATCCAAGTCAGTGATTCAGTATCTGTAGAGACTTCATAGCCCTACTTACCATTAACTCCACTAGACTGGTGGGCTCCTTATGAGCAAGAAGGAGTACACAGCAATGCAGGCTTCAGTGGAAAGTACATCCAACTGACTAATAATGTCCCAGCTGTTGTGATTCCACTTGAAAACATCACAGTCCTTCTACAGTTTGTGTACCATGCAGCTTTTTAAGGACTATGTGACATAAGTCAAAATATGTACATACAGTATCACTGGGCCACTGATAAAGTACTGTATGATTCCTTCATTTTACTCTACTGATAAATGCTTATGGATCCCTTCCACATTCTCCACTTATAATCAAACACCCCAACTGCCAACATGATGCCCTGAGACAAGGGGCACCATGACCAGCACCAAGGTCTTCCCACCCTGACCTTTTCATAAGCTCAAAGTACAGGTGCAGATCTGGTCATGGACAAAACTCCAAGAAAGGAGGAAAAGCTTACTTCTTAATCTCGTCTTCTACTGCATTAACTCCCTCAGTTTGTGGATTCTGGAATTTGTTGGTGGCACTTCCAAAGTCACACAGGACGTAGTGGCCTCGGTCGTGCAAGAGGATATTTTCAACCTGAAAAACATTTCCCAACCACCCATTCCAAAATATTATTTAGTGATGCATATGAAAATCTGGCTCAGAGTCATATAAATATTTTACAGCTGATAATCCTATTAATATGCACAGGAAAGTTATTCCCCTCCAAGTATCTCGAGAGGGGTCATCCCAAGTGAACAAAAAAGCAAAGCGTAGTAACAGGGTAAAATGACAATAGAGGGGGCAAACTGAGGAATTCCACAATGCGGAAGCAAGAGTCCCATTTTCCTAGATTTCCAGCCCCATTTCTCACCTCTGCAGAAATAGTCCTAATACTTTCTTTTTCTTTTTTTTTTTTTTTTAAGATTTTATTTATTTATTTGACAGAAATCACAAGTAGACAGAGAGGCAGGCAGGGAGGGCGGGGAAGCAGGCTCCCTGCTGAGCAGAGAGCCCAATGTGGGGTTCAATCCCAGGACCCTGGGATCATGACCTGATCCGAAGGCAGAGGCTTAACCCACTGAGCCACCCAGGCACCCCTAGCCCTAATACCTTCAAGCCTGTGTATCTTTCCTCATATTCTTCTTTCAGGCTAGAATGTTCTCTGTGATCCCACCTTCTTACCCAACTATCAATATCCCATTTATCTTTCCAAATCCAGTTCAAATGGCACCTCATGTTTGAAGCCTTCCTCAAGGACCCACTGAGACAAAGGTCACTCCTTCCCCACGGTGCTTCAGCACTTCGTTCTTCCTGATGTCAATTATTTCACTGGGCCTTATCCACACATATATCAATTTCTTTACCACACTACATTAGGATTTCTGGAATAATAAAAATTTGCTATATTTTAGATACTTCTCAAAGTGATTAAAGGTCTGTGGGCAAATGTGCAGTTTTCCTATTAAAGTATTATCTTTTTATAGATGAATTATTTGGACAGTGAGTTAGCAGTTCCAAGTAGAAGGGACCTTACAAATACCAGAATCTCCAGAAATCTCTGGCATCAAAGGACTATGCCAATGAAAGAATAACTTCAAGATGGTGGGCACTTCTGTACTCAAGATGTAGTGAGTAACTGTTGGTATAGGTGAACTGAGCTGTCTGGTGTGTTGGAGAACAGACCTGGCTCATGTGGGCAGTAAAATGGCAGCCAAAACATCTTGTTGGGCCAGCAAGTCTGTCTGTAGTCTCCATTGTCTTTTGTTATCAGCCTTCCAAAGACTGATCACCTTTAGAAAACAAAGGCAAGAGTAGACTACAAGCTCCTTCAAGACAAGCACCATCTCTCTCTCTCTCTTTTTTTTTTTTTTTTAAAGATTTTATTTATTTATTTGACAGAAAGAAATCACAAGTAAGCAGAGAGGCAGGCAGAGAGAGAGGGGGAAGCAGGCTCCCTGCTGAGCAGAAAGCCCGATGTGGGGCTCGAACCCAGGACCTGGGATCATGACCTGAGCCGAAGGCAGCGGCTTAACCCACTGAGCCACCCAGGCGCCCCATCTCTCTCTTTTTTTTTTAAAGATTGTATTTATTTATTTGACAGGCAGAGATCACAAGTAGGCAGAGAGGCAGGCAGAGAGAGGAGGAAGCAGGCTCCCTGCCGAGCAGAGAGCCTGATGTGGGGCTCGATCCCAGGACCCTGAGATCATGACCTTAGCCAAAGGCAGAGGCTCAACCCACTGAGCCACCCAGGTGCCCCAAGACAAGAACCATCTCTTAATCCTGTTTGTAGTCTTCTCTACCAGGGCCTAACATAGTGCTTGCTATAGAAAATGCTGGTTGAATGGAATAAGCTAAAAAATAGAAACACACTTAACACCGTGTTTGTGTGTGTGTCCGTCTATCAGAAGCGAGACAGAAAGCCACCAAATGCCCGGGCCATACTACTACTACTCTTCCTTTTTAAAAAAAAAAAAAAAATCTGGTCCATTGTGAAAGTCTCTTGTTCCCATACTTGTTTCTATACTTGCTTTAGTTCTTCTGAAAATTACATTATATATTACAAAAATGTTCACTGTACATTCTCTATCAGCTAAATCTATACTATAATCTATGTATACCTAAAGCCTTTGCTGCAAACTGATTCTTTTGTTTATTGTTTATTACTCCTACTGAGTCTCCCGCTTGTGTTATTATCAGGGGTTTTGTTATTGTTACTGTTAACTCACGTTCCTTGGAATTCATCTGTGGGAAGCCTTGGAGGCCTAGGTTTAAAATCTCTTTTTCTTCCTGAGAGGATACTCTTTTGCACCTGGGGTACCATTAACCTATAATCACTTGAATCTAGAATCTTGACCTTGGGATTTTTAGCCACACAGGCAGGGTGAACTATGGCCACCAGCTCTCGTGGATATGCTCTTGGTCCCCAGAGACAAGGCTGAGGCAAGCAAATATTTCATCTATAGCTTTTTATAAAGCTCATCAGTTTAACTTATTTACACAAAGTGATACAGTCAAGCTATCCTGAACATATACTCACTTTAGGAATCTAAAATAATTCCAACAAAGCAATACTAACACTTGCAATCTAATTCCAAGGTTATAGACAGACTGGCTACCACTTACTGAGATTTTACTATTATGAGTATTACTGTGCTCAGCACCTCACATGAGATTATCCTCATAATAATATAATAATATCCCTGTTTTACAGATGCAGAGGGTGAGGCTCCCAGTGATGAAGCTGGGAAGTAAACTTAGGCAATTTAATTCTAGAGAAAGGTAATGAATTACTTTTCTGCCGGGGCAGGAAGCAAGTTAGAAGTGGAGTGTTACTCAGGGTCCTCAGCCACAATACCCTCCAACCATGGTGGGTGTTGAGTATGCCAGTGTACTGGAGACATGCTTAAGGACAGGGCTGCCTAAGTCCCTTACGTTCAGAAATGCCCCATAATAGGAATCTAGTCGATGAGGAACCAGGTGACTAATTACTAGCCAGGCTGCTTTGCTCAGTGTCTCTTAAGCGTTCCCTGCATTGCCTGCTTTGTTCTTTTATTCAACTGCTCCATTTGTCAAATCGTAGCCATTCTATGAGGCCTTGCTCGAGTTCTAACTCCTCAGTACAATCTTCCACGGCCAGGCTATAAAATCTGTAGCACTTAACTGTCCACGAGGGGTTGCTGAAGGAAGACGTTCAGACCAAGTTAAGCCACGCCCATTTGTTACTTATCCCCTGGTCCATGATTGTTGCATTTGAGCTCCATTGGAGAGCCGAGCCGTTGTGACAGACAATACGGCTGATAAGCCTAAAATATTTACTATCCGGTCCTTGGCAGGAAAGTTTGTCAACCCCTGTCTATAATCATACTATGCCCATGTGTGTACTACAATACCCAGGTAGGATTTCACATGCCACGTACCCCTCGATCCCTTACTCAGTATCTGTTAGTAGCAATCTTCCTTCCCCACATCACATGAAACACGCATCTCCTACTGTACATGCACTGCCCTTTCAAAATTACTGTCTATACTGCCAACGCTAGAATGTATAATCTAGGAGACCAAGAAGTTAACTCACTTCAAAACACAAACAAGGTAGTTCTAGGGACCAAAATCACTGGGTTAGAGGGAGGAGGAAAACCAAGCAAAGACAGAATGATGATGAGGCACACTGGAGTTTTTGTTCTGTTTGTATTTCCCCCCAACCACCACCTTTAAAAACTAGGTTTGTGTTTCTGGTTAGAACTCTGGTTCTGAGTGGCAGAACTCAGCATTACACTCTATCAACCTGGTCCCCACCTCAGCTTGCCTCCTGCCCATAAAGATAACATCATACAAACCTATGTTTGCAGAAAAAACAGTTAAAAATGAAGGGTGTGCACAAAAGTGGACACAAAGCCAAAACTATCAACGTAGAGAAAAGCCTTATCAATATCGGAGAAATGCTAAGGCAGGGGTGCCTGGGTGGCTCATTCTGTTAAGTGTCTGCCTTCAGCTCAGGTCATGATGCCAGGGTCCCGGGATTGAGCCCTGCATCGGGCTCCCTGCTCTGTGAGGTGTCTGCTTGTCCCCCTCCCTCTGACCCTCACCCTGCTCTTGTGCTCTCTCTCACTCTCTCTCTCTCTCTTTCAATAAATAAATAAAATTTTTTTAAAAAAAGAAAGAAATGCTAATGCAGGTAAGAATGGTAAAGGTCCGCTCTGGCCGCTTTGCCAGCTTGCTGGGAGGGTCATGAGGGGGCAAAGGTGAACTCACTTGGCAGCGGCCACCGCACCAGCTGCCGCACCCTCTGCACGTTCTCAGTCTGACCCTGTGACTTGGGAAACCTGCAAAAACCTCCAAGGTCAAGCTGGCCACTGCCCTTTGTCACCAGCACTACCACCACCAACACCACACTGGACACAGAGCCTGGCATGTGACAACCACACTGGACTTGGAGGTCACAGGACCTCAGGGACTAATCAGATGTCTGACCTCAGACAAACCTTTAAGCCTTGTCGGACTTGTTTCTCACCAGCAAAGTCAAGCTAATAATATTTCTATCGCTGCTGTTATGAAGCAAGTAGGAGAATGTGCGTGAAAGCAAACTGTAAATCTCCCTCTATAATCCTAAGAAGTTATGACCACTCATTTAATAGAGAAACACACACACATTCCAACTCCTACTATATGCCAAGGAGGTTCTGGGGGTAAGGCTGTGAACAAATCAAGGTTCACCTGCTCACGGAGCTTAGAGTCCAGAGGAAGAGAATAAGAAAGTAGGTGTAAATTGCCAGGTGGTGATGAATGTTATGGGAAAAACCCCCACAGGTTAAACACATGTGAAGTGAAGAGGGACGCTACTGCAAACAGCACATTCGGAAAGGTCACCGCGATGAGGTGAGCAGAGACACCTGAATGGAGGGAGAAGGTGTGGACCACCCGGGAGAGAAGGTGGCTCCTGGAGGACAGTCCGCAGGATGGCGCTGAGATGGCAGCAGGCTTGAGGAACCTAAGGCGCACAGATAGGCCACCATGGCTGGGACAGCACTGTGCTGGGCACTGGAGTTACAAAGAACACCGAAGACACGGGGGCTGGAAGGTCTCCGGATAGTGCC